TACTACTATTACAATTTCTTCATGCCTCGTCTCCATGTCATCTGTTAACCTCCACGTGATTTCCTCCAGCCCGGATTAGTTACAGCGAATAAAGCGCGGTGCGGCAGACGATGGTTGGGCATACGCAATACGTGCCCTAGCCAGTGAAACCTAGTGAATTCGGTGTGCTAGCAGGTTTGTACCTGGTAGACTCCCAAACTCACGACGGCTTACCTCCACGTTACTAACCCGTTTGCTCCATCTCACGTAAACACCGATAATCGAAAACTTCTAGTCGACGGTTATCTTCTACTCGCAAACTCAAGGTCTCACTACCATAAGGCAAAACTGATCGAACGGTGGCACAATAATCACAACCTTTCAATTTCAATGAAACTTCGCGTTTACGCCAAAGGTGTTTCAGTCTTGCGTATGCTGCTCAAGTCTTTGAAATGCCGGCGGCTACCTCTTTCACTGCACTACCGTCATTGGTCACGCAACTACCTAAGTATAAAAGCAAGTAATTCCGGGCCATTGACTTTTAGAGCGGGAGTAGATGAAACCCAGTCCTGCAGTATCACTTTGTACTTTGAAGGTGCAAGGCACATACCAAATGTGGCTACTGCACTTGCTAGTCTATCAATTGCTCTTTGCGCGTCCCCCATACATTCGAACAGACAGACGATGTTATCGGCATACTCTAAATCGCACAGCTTTTCTCCAGCTGTCCATTCAATACCTACGTTTTGTAGTCTCGTAAGTGCGCTTTACAGTATTTCGTCTATAACGAAATTGAACAGGAACGGCAAAAGGAGTACCCTTGACGAACGCCACTGCTAGTGACGAACGGTCTACTTAGTTCTTTGAAGACTCTTACACGACCGGGGGTATGTGAGTACAGTGACCTCAGTAGGTTAACCTACTTCTGGGGCATTCCTTTTCAAAGAAGGCAGCCCATCAGGGCTTCGCGGTCAACTGAGTCGAAGGCTCCTTTAAGGTCAAAGAACACTGCGATCGTTGGGCGACGGTAGGTATGACGCAGCTAGAGGATCTGACGCAACGTAAAAGTCTGGTCAATACATCCATGGCCAGGCCGGAATCCGGCTTGTTGTTCACGGATGTTGATCTCTCTTGAAGGATTCAAACGTCGAAGTATAACTGACGCTAGCACGTTGGTGACGATCGGGATGAAACTTATCCCGCGGTGGTTTTCGCAATCGTTGCGAGATCCTTTCTTGAAAATGCGAACGATCCGGGATTCGCCCCAAGATGAAGGAATGCGCTCTTGCGTCCAAATGTTGCACAGTATGGTAGTAATAGAGGTTATGNCTCCCATCTTGAATAAGTGGGAGCGAACTCATCCGGTTCTGCTGCCTTTCCTCGATTCAGAGCCTGAGTGCAAGATAGAACTTCTCCTTCTGTTGGAGGATCGCAGGGCACTGCCCAAAGAAGTTTAGTTGCGGATGATGCAACCTGGTTAGCACTAGGCCAGCTTAACTGTTCGCTGAAGTATTCCGCCCAGTGATCTATTGTGAATACCTTGTCCCCTGTTATTGCAAACTGTTTCACTAACTGGAGTTCGCCGACCTCCCGTATTACGTATCAGTCGATAAGTCCGACTATTCCCTGATGCAGCCGCTACTTCCATTTCACTAGCTGTTGTTGCCCACCGGTTCTCACGGTTTTTCTTGAGGCTCTTTGTGAACTGACGTATATGCCACCTAACTCTATTTTGATCCAACAGGTCGGGATTTGCCGTTTTTCTCCATCAAAACTATTGACTCCTGAGATATCTGATGCCTCTGACGGGTTTGAGGGTCAGACCCACAAGCAACATTCGCTGCAGAATGCACTGCTCGCCCAGTCTGATTCCACTGCTCATCTATATCACCACGCTGAGGCCCGCTTAGCTCACGCACTCGCTCTGACTCAGAGTGCACGAACTGCTGGCACAGATAGTCGATGATGAGCTATCCGAGTTTGTTGGTTTTGTCGCCGACCAGTCCGTTGGAGAGTGAACTGCATCAAAACTAATGCGTGATCAGACTCAACGCAGGTGGTCCAATAGGACTTGCAATTTTGTACTGAGCCACACCAACGGTAACTTACTGCCATGTGGTCGATTTGAGTTAGCGTACCAGTCGAAATGAATCGCAAGGTTGCCGTCCGTCGAGAGTTGTGTCGGAAGTTGGTGCTTGATAGGAACAGATGATGGTCTGCG